ACCTAAAGTTTTTCTTCATTACCCATTCAAGCCGTCTCCAGCGATTATTAGTCTCAAAGTGGGTTCCTCGTCATCGAAATTAAAGTCAACTTATTTCAAATATGTAATAACCATTTTGAAATTAGGGATAAAGGATAGGCTATTCTGTTTTTTTCGGCTTGGAAATCTGGTCACCCTACATTGAATGGAAAATATGTAAATTGGAATATACTAAATAACGCAGCGAGATTACTGAAAGACTGCTTGGTGTAACCATTCTTATATGTTCATGTCCTTACTGTAAGTTTTTGAACTATAGTCTATTGCACTATTATATTTGAAAGCAATTTTATTACATAAGTTGTTTAAGATTTTATGAATATTTAAATGCACAACTTGTACAATAAATAAAATCTTGATGTTTTATTAACTCCAAACTAATTTTAAATAAAACTATTATTTTGATCATAACCGAAACTGAAACCCAAAATGTCAAGCAAGTTTTGCTATCGGTCTCTAGTGTCCAACTTTAATGTCCTTCAGACAATGATACGACATCTACTACAACACTAAAATTAAAGTACTGCAATTCAAAACGTGCTTGTAAGTATTAGGGTATTTTTATTGTTGTATATTAGATAAATAATTTCCAATATGCATAGTAGCCTTGTCGTATTCTAACCTAAAGTAATCATTATCAAAGTACTGTTTGCTTGTTTGTGAATTTCGCACAAAGCTACACAATGGGCTATTTGTGCCGTGCCCACCACGGGTATCGAAACCCAGTTTCAAGCGTTATATGCCGTCAGACTTACCACTGAGCCACTGGGGGCATTAATTATTAGTAGATGTTCCTAATTCTCGTCTAGAATATATTTTGAAGTCTGTGAAAAGATGAATGAATTTACATTTTTGAAATGATATGAAATCATACCTTTTATAACAATTTCTAGTATAATTTATTTAATTTTCACTATATTCCTCATGGGTTAAGAAAAGAAATAGAACTAAAACTTCTACTAAAAGTGCCAGTGATTTAGAAACAACAATAATTTATCCATTGTATATAGGTTACGCATCTGTCATAACAGCTTGTAAGCATAGTTGTTGAATGAGTTATACATTATAAATAATTTTTCTTATGGTTTCTATCAAAGCTGGCTTACATAAAATATATTACGGATAATATACACTATGTTATAGAAAAGCACGTAAGTTTACAAAAAAACCAAAAACATTTGATACACGTAGAGTGACATGAGTAGTTTTTAGTAACTTTTATTTCGAAAACCAACACGATTCATGTGCAAATTAAATTAATACATAATGAGAAGCCCACCAAACGGTATTTTTTGTAATAAAATAACTTGGCTCTTATTGATGGAGGACTTGGTGACAAACTTCACGGATATAGAAACACTAATACTAATTAATACTTTTTACCGAATACTAGTTGGGCTTCCATGAAGAGTTTTATCATTTTGTAACACAGTTATTGAGTTAAGCCTAAAATGAAACTATATCTTTACTTGCCATCTTCTTTCAATAGCTCTTAAGCAGTTTCAAAGAATGTTATTGCTAGTTTTCTCATTAGGAATGTTCTCTGAATTATATTTACTACATAAAGTTATTTGATGTAATATGCTTGAATAAGAGTTCACGGTCACGTGACCTTGTAAAACAATTTTAGTTAGCAAAGTAAAAGAAAACAATCTGTGAATAAGTTGGTTTCATTGGCCTACCTTACATTTCACACACACACACACACACAAATTCACGTATTATGATGTAAACTTAACATCGTACTTAAACTAAATATTCTTAATAATTTTTATTAAAACTTTAAATTTGTGCTTAAGCACACATAACATTCTTTTAGTCTGTTGACTTAAACTTTAAAGCTGATCCCGTACATAATGTCCCCCCCCCCCGAAAATATTTCTGTGGGCGCCCATGTCCCCATACTTTACTGTAGTTGTTGTACGTAAACGGAAGTATACCTTTTGCTGACCAATCAGTGTTCAGCTATGTATTTAGTTGTACATAGTGTAGTTGTCATAGTACATAGTACTTGCATTCCGTACATATATGCAAGTATTCTCAATTTATTAGTATCCGTATTTATATTTTTATGCAAAACTAATAAGGGTATCGGTCACCATCTTTAATTTTAAACTATCGAACAGAGGGAAGGCAGCACACTTTAACCAATCATTCAAGTTTAAAATATCATAGTAATAAATGTTAGGTTGTTACTAGTGTCATTCTTAAAACGCACCCACAGCGTAGAGTGCGTGGAATATTTTGCGGTGTTACACGAATCTGAGACCGACTTAGCAATGCCGAAATCCACGTACTACCACAGGGGAACTCGCGTTCAGGCGAGTATGATAAAACTGAAAATACTTAAAGAATTTATAGTGTACGAATGAATGTACGCAAGTTTGATAACGAGGTACCCACTTTTAGACAACTTGATGATAAAGTTGGGTACCTAATGATGACATACGCTTGTCAGAACGTCGTGCAAAAGCTACACAATGGGCTATCTATGCTCTGCCCTCCACTGGTATCGAAACTCGGACTCTAGCGTTGCAAGCCCGCAGACATGCCGCTGTGGGGCTTGTTACATGTAATAGTTTCATTCGTTAACTATCCTCTCCAAACTGTATAATCTACATAATGTGCGTTACACTTCTTGTGTAAGTTATTGCAATAGTAGTTTATATTAATTCTTTGAAACATTTTCTACGAAACCACATTTTATTCTATCACAACATTTATCTTTCGTGCTTTCAATATTTCTAATCCACTATATTTGGTTACATTAGTTTTATTAACAAGTGTAACCTAGTTTGTTATCCTAAATATAGAAAAAAAAAGTAGGTCATGAATATGATGACGTGCAATTATCAACTCCAGATTTGTGAATCTAGAATGCGTTCTAGTAGCTGTTAACTTCTATCCAAGTCTGTCCAGCAAACAAGTCGCTGACCTGGTTACCAAGAAGTCTCAATATTGTTCTCGCTTCTGACATAGAACGGCATCAGGACGGAACATAATAGCATTGTTAAAAGAAGACCCGGAATTTGCTGCACATTCATACAAGACTTAAATCTTGTCATAATGATACAGTTGGGCTAAGCCTTCTTATCAATTTCTTCGTTACAGAAAAAAGGATGACGAAAAACCAGTTTTAAAGTAAATATCTTTAACAAACTTTTTTTTTAATGCAACTCTTTTCAACTGGAACTATATTAAAACGATTTAAACAATGAACACTAAAAATCAGGTTACTCAGTGAGATATTACATTTAGTTTGAATACTGTTTCTGACACTCATGGAATCTTCAGTTATGTACGACTGTTTTTAACACTTTCTACTTAATTTTTGGATACCTTTGAAGTATCGCTATTACGTCCTGAAAAAACAAATACTAATAACGTTCCATTTAAACTTAATATACATGTTTAAAATATCAGAGTACTACACAAAGTAATAAATGTTAGGTTGTTATTACTGGTCTTTCAACACAAATGTTGACGAAGATTTTAATTTTTTTATAAGCATTCTGACAACTGCAACTGATAACAATCAAAGTCACCTTGAGTACAAGTAATTCTTTTTTTCTCTCGTCACCAAATATTTTTGAGTCGTCATCCATATATTTTTAGTGAACGTGTGATATTCTATATGTTACCTTATTAATAACAATGATTTAATTTTTCTCTACAGATGCTATTATTCATTGTTTGACTGTTTGAACACAAATAATAAATTATACGATTCATACCACGATCTGGATTACAACCTCCCAGACCTTGCATCAGAACAGAAGAGAAACTTAATATTTAGTGATTACTGTTAGAACTGTGCTGGAAGAAATTCTCAAACGAATGAATACATTACATTTAGCTTAGGAAAAACCATGGATTTATCAGGTCCAACCCTTAATTTCCGTAAACTGTTCCATGTGCTCGTCTGTAAAAATTATTAGATAAGTCACTGAAATTCTGTGTGAATATTTCTTTTATATAAAAAACTAACTGGGTACTTCTCACTTTACATTACAAATAATATTTGCCTATACAATATATATATATAATCATCATAACTTTGAAAATATAGTTCTTGGTTGTTTTTATGCCCTATCTGCCTTACTAAAAACATAATACTAAAAAGTCTTGCACATGCAAAACATAAGTTGAACTAGACTCTTCACTCAGATGTTACTAACTTTACCAATGTTGGATGTAACATGTTTGTAAAAAGCTTTGTTAGGTGTTTAAATTGTTATTGATCTTTTGACAAGTTCACTTTCTTACAGTAAATGCTACTAACACACATTAAATGGTCTTTAAAAATCTAATACATTCATGGATGTTCAGTACTAGATCATCTGTCACACATGTGCACCCTTCTACAATAGTTGAAATAGTTTATTTTTAAATATCCAATGGGTTCATCATATATACTTGACATGCTCACTGCTGCATAATGCTTGAATATTTCAGTATAACACAAGAAAAAAATTGTTATTTAATAACTACATTCTACCATATTAAAATATTTCACATTGATGTTTTTTTTTTTGCAAAAATAGCTAAATGGAGTTTACTAAGTGGTTAGTTTGTTAAAACAGTACCAAATCAACACTAAGTAATTACCAAACTGTTCATAGCCCATTTCCACATGATTGTTGCGTAGTCTCATTTCCAAAGCAGTCTTGCCAAAAGAACAAAAAATAAAATATAAACAGATACAGTTTATGTGAAGTCAATAATTTTTGACAGTTGTTAATTCTATTTGAAATACTTGACATACTAAATATTAAATTTATTTAATAAAGTGTATAATATGATACAAGAGCACAAGATTTACAAAACAGATTCTAAAATCTTAGTTGTGTCAAAAAAACCCGCAATTCATCAAACCATTGGGAATTTCAACATTAGAAAAGTCCAAGTTAAGATTAAATGAAAAGACACACTGCATCATAAGGATCTTTCTCTTCCATAACTGGCCATCACAATAAAACAGCTGCATTCTTCTCTTTTCACCTTTTCTTATTGGTCAATGTCTTTCAGGTCATCAGGAAGAGGAGTTTTGGGATGTTTATTTTCAAAATGTTGCTTATAAGTTTTGGGATCTGGCATCCGAGCCTTTGTAAAAAGTCAAATATCAATAATAAAATTATTAACCTCAATACTAAAATGTTATCAAATATCTTAAACATTCAATAATGGGCAAAAAACCTGACACGTTTAGTTTTCCTCACACCACCATTTTTATCCAATCCAACTGGTGCTACACTGATTATAAAAATGTATACAAAGTTTTTACTAACATTTATGTAACTTCACAAATTTTAAAGGTTGGTGACAGAAAAATATAACTTAAACTTGTAATTTTTATTTGCAACATGAACTGGCTTTTAGTAAGAATACAGACATAAACTTCAAAAATTCTCTTATAACATTTAAAAAATCTTAATTGTTCAGCAGGACTTTGCAATTACAACTTACTAATCACTCTTATTTACAGCTTTGAAATTTGTAACAGTGGACAGTTTTCTAATTTTTTACTGATGTTTATGTGTTCCAATGTGCAATCCAATACAGTTATAAAAATTACTTTTAGAAATGATAGACAATTCTACTTTATATTTGCTTACCTGCAAAATTACACAAATAGCAACTTTTTGGAATAATATTTCCCCTAAAGTAAACTTCAGAAAATTAATCTATCTATGAAATTTAATGATCAGAATATACTTTAGGCTTCCAAATGTTATTATAGAACTACGAGTACACACACACATATATATATATATATATATATCAACATAAACTTAAAACAAAATTCAACAACTAACATCTAACTTGGGACTCAGCAACATTTTATATTCAGTATTACTTATCAATATTCAAAATTTAAGACCCTCTGCACATGTCAACAGTGTTTTTTAAATTTAGGTTACAATGTTATAACTTTATGATATGTGTACTGTGATTAACTGGTTAGTAGTTTATAATAATATTTAAATATGGTATATTAACACTGTAATAAAGTAGTAGTTATGAATAATCCACTAATACATGTTTAACTTTTAATCATCAATAATTATGAGAATGAGATCAAAGGACATAAGAAAATTTCATTACACAATTATACCCCATATTGTAAACTTGAAATTTTTCTCTTTTATTTCAATTATACTTAATTAAAAGAAAAATGTTTTTTTTCTTTCTTTCTTGTAAAAAAAAATATACTTTTTATATTTCTTTTTCTGTGAACTAGTGTGGCATATGGTGGCACCCATACCTTGGGTTGCCAACCACTGATCTAACTTGTATTTCAGTTTATGTTAACTGCTTATGAAAATAATAATACAGTGAAACCCCGATTTAACACGAATTCGGATATAATGTGATGGGTCCTTAACTCTTTTGACACGGGCTCGGTCCCTGGAACCGACCTTGTAACCATAACCTCGAAATAGTTTACATACTAATAACTTTTAATATTTTAAGTGTAGCTTTACAAAATTTTGTAGACTTATAGTAAACATTAGAAGCCTTTTGCACACAAAAAATCAAATTTTTTAATGAAGTATGTTTACTTCAATTTGTCCATGAAAATATTGATTCTTTTTTTTACTAGTCTGAGTACAAAGTGATTCTCATGTCAAAATTGAAAATACTTTTTGTCATCTAAAAAATCTCAAATTTCCTTTGTGTAATCCTAAAACCTCCTAAATGCATTTCAAACGTTTTTTTTTTCACTAAATCCTTCAACAACGCTTGAAGCCTATCTGAAAAGCCTGAACATGAAGGAAGTTTGCCACTTTGGTGGGAAGGTCTGGGCAGCAGTCAGCTCGTCGTGTATAGAGAAATGCTGGGAGAAGGGTCTGGGGCTAGCCTTTTCATCATGGCAATTCACCACGGAGGATGATGATGACAAGACAGATTTGTACGGCTTCACAGAAGAAGATGTGCTTGAGGCAAAGAAGCTGTCTGAATGGAGCAAAGAAGAGCTACACCAGTGGCACTGTGTTAACGACGAATGCCCAACATATGAGCACTTGATGGATGCCGAGATCGTCCTTAATTTAACTATACCACCAACGGAGGCAAGTACACCAGTTCTCGAGCCACAAGAAGAGGATAATGAAGAGCCTCCATCACCACCACCAAAAGAGGCTAGCCGCCATTGGCTGGAGACTCAGGAGGTGGACCACATAAAAATCCTCCAACTCAGAAGCATTCTAAATTTCGCTTGCAGCCAGAGACAAGCTATGTTCAAGCAAGACACACTCGATCAGTTTTTTACAAAATAAACTGCAAATGATGACTGCTAATGTTCTTGAATGTTTTTATTTGTTGTTTCGTTTATTAAAAAGCCTACTAAAAATAATTTGTGTTTTAATTTCTACTGTGACAACAACGATTCATTCTCAAAATTCTATAATTCAGAGGTAAATTACTTGCCAGAAAGGGAACATCATAAAACTAATCAAAGAGGGCAAAAATAGAGGTGTTTTACAATGTTAGGTCAACATTGTGTTAGTTTGAACAGTGATTTTCTTGAACCCCGATTTAGCGCAACCCCGCTTGTTTCACGATGACATTTTATGGACCCCAACAATCGCGTTATAATGGGGCTACACTATATTAGAAACCTATATTTATCACTGTCTTATAAAAAATTCAAAGCCTACTACCCAACTACATGCATAATTAAAATATTTTTTTGCTATGAAACAGTATAACTAGAAAACAAAGTACACATATGCAGGATGTAGAAGTATAGTCATATCGTTTCCAACATTTATGTAAAAATTCATGCTCCACATCTAACAGTAGTAAGCATTATGTGTGAAATGGTCAAACATGTTTTAAGCAATACTGTTTCAATACCTTACAAACTGTACAGGTATGTATCAAGGCTTTTTGAGCTGCTGTCTTTTGATCATGACCTTGCTGTTTCTTAATTTCTTGTTGTCTCTTTTGGTTCTTCTGCTGAGACTGGATCTTCTGATGTCCTCTAGCCATTTTTATTTTGAAAATCTGAAAACAAACAATAGCAGGATTTATTAAAATTCTCATGTATTTTACTGAAACTAATAATAATAAGGCTCTAAGTCACTATAGAACTACCTTATAAATTTGAGTTATGAAATCCACTTCTCTAGTCGAGCTTAGTTTCCAACAGCTATTACTTTCTAAACATTTTTTGTGTTATCAATGATGAAAGATAACTATTCAACCATACTTGTTTTATTTTTCAATTTTCAAATAAGAGTTTAGTTTTCATTTAACATTCCACAAAGTAAACATTAAAAAATGTTGTTAATAATTTACAAAAAAAAAAAAAGAGATGTTTTACTTTGTAAAATCTCATCTAACCTTACATGTATTAACTAGTTGTTAATTTACATTGTCATATTTTGGTCAATAGTGTCTGCTGCATTGTTACAAGTATAACTGAATTTGGAAGTAGGCAATATGAAGAAAATTCCACACATTCAAGTTCTTAATATATAATGATATATACCTTAATTTTGGTTTTGTGCTAATTTTGAGCAATAATTATTAAAACAAAATTTTCTATCATAAGTACAAAATAAGAGTTCAACAACGTAAAAATAGACAATTTAATGTCCTTTAAAATTTACGTTTTAAAAACTAAATAATTAGAATAAGAATTTAAGGCCTGTAAAAAATAAATATGGAATATAATACAATACATGAAAACATGATAAAAGTTTAAAAAAATCATACTTTTTATTTATAATCAGTTATATACCTGATTTTATTTCAATCAAGCAACAATGATTTACTTAGAAATATTTTTAAGACAAAAATAATTCCACATTTGTAGTAACCTACATCTACCTATCAATAATGTTAAATAATGAGTTAAGAGAAAATATTAATCATTAGAAAGAGCCTTATAAATTTTGAAAATAAATTTCATAACACACTGGGTAAGAGAATTTAAAAAATTTACTGGAAAAAAAATTAGACAAACAAAAAAGAATAAACCAAAAGTGATAAGAAAAAACAGTATATTATATAGTTGCAAGTAATTGCTTTTTCAGCGTATGTAAACAAAATGTAGTCCACATTCAAGTAGCATGAAAAAGGTATTAAAGTAAATTTCAAAGAAAAGAACAAAACCTAAGCACTTTCTAATAGTCAACTATTCAAAATCACTCAAGTTTTGGGTGTTTTTTTAAAGCATTGCATCTTTTGTTTGTGGTCCTGTGTGCTAACTTTTATACGAAAAGGTATTAATTAAAGTAATATGTAATTGGCCATATATTATGATTTTTGCTAATAATATGACTAACGTAAAGATGTTAAAGTACTTTTCAAGTAAAGATCTGTTTACAGAAAAGAAAAAAAAAATTAAATCAACAAACAGATGTTCAAAAATAGCTGATTAAGGCTTGTGTTTTCTTCAGTCAAGCAAAATGGTACTTTAAGTTAAGTATTTACTTTTACTTTACATGTATCTTAATGAATCGAACATTTAAAACAAATGAAAGTTCTGAATAGTTAAAAAAATATATCACTTTGGCAACTTGTATTGTGTGTTGTTGCTAATAGTAGAGTAAAGTGGATTTTAAGTTGTATTTCATTATCTACAGAAATACTGAATACAAGTCTATAAAGGATATAATTTCATTGTATAGGTTACTTGTTAGGCCAAATTTAGAGCATTGTGTTCTGTCTTGGGCTCTTTACCTTAGAAATAATACTGAATTATTGAATTTAGAGTAGAGCTATTAGGACAATACTTGAAATGGAAAAGTTGTCATATAAAGTCAAGTTAAGATTTCTGAAATTTTCTTCTTTTGAGAAAAAAAAGGTAGAGAGGATCTGATTTAGGTGTTCAAGGTTGTTAATGAAGTTGATAGTGTCAATGCATTCTTTTTTCCATATTTGGCTACTATGAATCCACCTCAGTTGACAAGTTTAACCTTACAGAACCCATAAAAAATTTACATTGTACCATGTTCTGTACATTCCAGTGACTACAAATGATACCAGAGATATGTTTTAATGCAATACTTTATCACCATCTCCTTTAATTTTGCATATAATACCCAGTAGTTTTATTCACAGATAAAAAGCATTTTGTTTCGTAATAATTCTGTAAACAAATTCTAACTAGTATTTTACACTAAATTTTCAAAAATTTGAATAATTCTTCACTTGTATCTCATTCAGGGTTCTTCCTTTCAAAATTAACAATCTCAGTTGATTCTGACTTGAATCATCTTGATGTATTATTCCACAACTGAACATATTTATGCAATTGTACAATAACATACAATACAACATCTTGGGACAATATTAATAAATAAATAAAAAAATCTTAAAGCAGACCCTTATCATTCATATACTTAAGCTTTCTCTTAAAACTCACATAAATTTACTGCCTTCACAACATCCAAAGACAACCCATTCCAAAGGCCAACCACCCTGTTAGAAAAATAACTGTCTTAGCTGAAGATGGTGACTACTCTGCCAAAAGTTATATTTGTATCCCCTAGTCCTACTATTCTCACTGTAAAGTAGGAAAATGATGATGTATCAACACTATAAATTCCAGGAAAGAGTTCCATATGGCACCCCCACCCAAAAATTGTAGAATTGCCTGGATAAAAAAGATTCTGAAAAGGGTTTATTTTAAGGGGCGTATTAGAAAAATTAGGGCATGGCTTTGACAAGCATTTGTGTGAATACATGTCGAGAACATTATATTCTGATAAAAGTAGCCTTTTTGATGCCTTTATACAAGACATTTGTAAAGTTTATCCCCAAGAAGATTGTACATCTAATTAATGAAGTATGTGGTATAATAATGTATTAAAATTATCAGATCATACTATTAATATGATTTATTAATACATAAATATTACTTTGATGAATTTTTTAAAAATTGAGTGGGATGCCATATGGAACTCTTACCCAATTCCCTTTACAACACCTCAATCAGATCCCCCTAACTCTTTTTTTTTCAAGAGAAAACAATTTGAAAGATTTCAGCCTTTCTTCGTATGACAACCCCTTGTTTGGGTGCAAGACTACAAGAGTTCAGTTTAAACGCGAAAACCAAATGTTTGAAGCCCAATCTGGTACTAATCTATCCTGGAGAACAGTCTTCTACTACAAAAATGATATTCATTGATATCATAAAACAAAAGGGTGTAAGAATCTGATTACATAAATGGATTCTATGATGCTGTCATCAAAAAATTTACTGTAATGTACAGTTAAAGGAAAGGCCTCCTGGTCAGATATTTGTGCGAGATAAAAACAGAGACCTGCACTGCTATTTTCATGCACCTCTGATTCAAGATCCATTACAAAGTAATTAAGAAGAATCTGTCTTTAGTAAGTCTTTATGTCTTTTGTTTTAGACCTAAAGAAAAATGTCACTTGTTCATCAAATGTCATAACGAACATAGATTACTGTGGTGAGTAAAGAACAAATAGAAAATCATGTATGTAAAACAGTTTAAACACTACAAGAGGCTAGGTCTTTTCTTTTGAGTTGCCCTTGTCAAGTATTACTGATAATGGATGAAATTCCCAAAACTGATCTAATTCAGGGAAGTGTGGATAAATCCAAATTTAAGGATATAGTTTTAACAATGAAAAAATATACATACAGTAGTTATTTCTAAAATAAAACAACTTCAACTTATACAAATTATGACATTTCTAAATCACAGTATCAATATCAACAATCACATTACACTGTAACACTGCTTAATGGAAAACTTAACTTGCCATATGTAGCTAATAGTAGTAAACTTTTTTTTAAGACAAAATAATCTATTTTACCTATAATTTGCGTGGGAAGTAAACATCAGTTCAACTTGGAGTTTGATTCTACAACTTTCATTAACAGTGACAAACCAAAATCAGCATAAAATCTTGGAATTTGAGAAGACTAATTACTTAACTTCTATATTAACGTGGAGTTACAATATCAGTATTAGGCCTATCGTTTTATTATTTATATATTAAGTACGCATATATATATATATATATATACATATATATGGCATATACCTGGCTGTAAATTGTAATGACACTAGTAGTAGTACTACTCATATTAGTATTACTTTCTTAGAATATGACTAACATTAAGTTATAACACGTGGTATCGTTAGTTTCAAACTTCTATAATTTTGAAATTATAAGACTCACGTGTAACTGTAGTGTAAGTAAAACTTAGTCTTGCTTTAAAACTGCAATTTTATTATTAGCGCCCCTCTTCTTTGCTCTACGTGTGCGTCTCCAACGTAGCCTAAATCGAGGAAGTGTTATGCTTGACCAGTGAACTTTAGTTTAAGCTACGTTGCTAATGTATATAATAATAAAAAAACACTTTTTTGTTAAAGTAAATAGTCACAAACCAGTCAAAACCGGCTCTATAAAATGAACCTTCTTGTACAACACGTATTGAAGTTGTATTGCAAACCTTACGCCAGGATCCTACGTAAGCAATTGCACCTATAAATTTCCCCATTCTTTATCTTACACGTATATACCGCCACGTTTCAACACAGTAAATTGAGCCCGGTGCTTCAGTGCAATCCCTGACTGAAACTGAAAATCCGTGAATGTACATTAGTTTTTGAATGAAATTAATTTTGTATTATCGCAAGACTTTTAATCTTCTGGTCCTTTTATAACAACGCACTTTTTAAATGAAATGTACTAATTGAGTTATTCTAGGATCTATGCCATTCCAGGGCATAATCATTCAACTACTCGTTGAAAGTATTTTGATAAATAATAAATACTGTTGCGTCAGCGAGGTCACGTGACTAGTATCACGCCACTTCTTTCTCGAACCTTCCTAAATTGGGGGGTAGTCTGGTATATATAAGATGGTGACAACGTGACAGGACAATGTGTAGGTAGTGAGTAATTGATCTGCATTCAGAGAGTATTGTTGAAGTTAACATTCGTTATAGCGTTTGTTTTAGCGCGAATGTTGAAATTAAGTGTATCGTAAAGTTATATTCAGAAAGAATAAGCCAGTTTTATTAAGTAAGGACTTGTGTCGCTAAAGTTTCGTCGGAACGAAGTTACGGAAAATTAATCAACAAACGGAGACGTAACAATATACTACAAAATTTCTAAAGTGCACAGTGAAATGTTTACGACTGATGAAACCTCTCCATAAAGTTAATTCCCCTGACCACTCCTAATTGCCGGAATATATTTTTAAAATATCCTGGAAATTCAGATCCATTTTCGTTCATGTGAAAAGTAAATGCTAACTGTTAAGGCAATAGCAGAGGAAATGCATGTGTTATTCATCCTTTCCACTAGGGTAATATGCTAAAGCTAGAAGTTTTTAATCTTATTTGTCATATACTATAGAACAGTAAAAAGAAATAAAAAAAATACCAATTTGAAAATGTTACCGTTCTTTCCCGCTTCGAAACATGGAAAGTAAATAATGTATTGTGATATGCAGGTATTCCATGTTTCCCTACATTCTGTTGTGAAATAATTTATTTTTCTAAGTGATTATCATCTTCGCACCATCATGGCGGCAATACGTGGTCTAGTTGTCTGGCATTAGTTTGTTATAGCTACTTCAGCCCTTTGTTCTTTTGTTAGATGACCTCTTCTGCCCACAAGGATATTTCATTGTGTATCTCGAGTCTAGTTTCATCTAGTTAAAACTGGAATACCCTTTGCTCAAGTTTGTTGGCCGAACTAACACGTCAACTAAATAGGATAGCTGACCAATGCTGTGAGGGAACAGAAATCACGAGGTGAAGCTGTCCGCTGGACAAAGAAAACAAGATGAAGTGTGAAATCCATGCACACTTTCTTCATCCATTTCTCTCCTAGTTTGTTTCCAGTGAAGATCTGTTCTTCCACTGCTCTAGTCTGGTATTGGAGTCTCCAGTCTCGAGAAAAAAGAAAACTTTGACACTAAGCATTAACTAGGAAGGAGTAAGAACTGTTTGCCATCATCTGTGGGTAGACGCACTGAGCTTTCCGTTTGTTTTTTTTTGTCTGAACAAGGACTGTGTTTATTTGTATAAAATTTGTCCAGCCTATTTATTCTTACACTAAAAAAAAAAAACTCAGTCGAAATATCTCGCAAGAACTCTAATAAATTTCCGGGAAAAACTCTGCTGTTATTACAAACAAATTATATTTAATACTTGTCGAGAAATCGATTTTTAACTGAAAATATTACATTGCTACTTTTCAAAGACAAAGGAAAACAATGCATTTTAAGAATGCAGCTCATACTCAGCCTGTAATATAGAACGTAGGTATTTAGAGTAGATACTGGACATACATCTGAAATTATAGATTTTTATTAGTCCCCAGAAAACACTCCAAAACGTAACCGAGGTACACTGGCGAGCTCACGTGGATGTTCTTGAAAAATCTATACTGAGAAAATACTTATTAAGTATTTTGCATTTGTCAAACGTAACTACAGACGATTAAATTTCTCTTTATGTAAATCTATGTTTTATTTTGACATGATTCTGCAGAAGTTTCGTTAGGTTTTGCAAAACATGCAAAAATCGGCTTTTTTTCACGAAAGTTTCGAACTGCGATGACACCTCAAAATTTGCCAAAATTCGTGGGATTCTGCTAGTAGGTGTTTGCAAGGAATTCTGAAGTAACTGGATAATGCAATTGCACTTTCCTCCTATTGGCTTTTTTTTTATGCAATTAAGAAAGTTTTCCTAATTTGTATAATAATATTTTAGAATGTGTAGGTAAGCCTGTCTTTATTATTTGATTTTTATATTGGCAACCATTGCTAGCTCGGTACTGATAACACTCAGTCGTATACTAACTACGGCTCTCAATTCAGATAAGATAAACTGGTGTATTCCCATTTAAAGTTGTAGCTTATATCTTACTCGGATTTTGAAGTTGTTTATCTGTTGTTTGTTACTTATTTCTTTAATGGTATATTCAAGTGTTACAGCGTTACTTGAAAGTGCCTGTAATCTATCTATCTATATATGTATATATAAAAGTGAAATTGCATGTTTGTCCACTAACTACTCGCACACTATTTGACCAATCACCACCAAACTTGGCATGGTGGAAAATTCTCACCAGGTTTCCTACAACAATTTATTTTTGACTTTTAATGCAGTTTCTGTTTTCGTGTCAGAGTCCTTTTGGTAATACTTAACACTATAAATCGTCGCTTAGCGACAAAACTATCACGATATTGTTGTTAGGCCAACAATGTTGTTTATGTTGTACATGTTATTTTGTTGTTTATTTTTATTTTCTGTTTTTAACAACTTCAATGATATTAAAGCAAACGGTTTAATTCAAAAACTTCTTCTTAAGTTAGTGTTGGAAAGTTTCCAATCAATAAATTAAACAACTATATCATTATTCCCAACAAATGTGGTAACTTAGTTAAGAATGCAGAAGAGCTAAAGGAAAAGGTGTTCCCTAATATTTGTCAAAATTCCCAAAATTATCAATAGTTGTGTAAAAGAGCAATTCTTGCATCTCTAAATGATACTATTCATAACATAAATGAGCAATTATTGCAAAAGGTTCCCGGACAGTCAGTGTTCCAGTTACAGTTGATGCTGCATATTACCCAATTCTCTTGAACAACCAGGGATGCCACGTCACATTCTGGAATTAAAGGTTGGTTCACCAGTAATGTAGTTGAGAAATCTTGATCCTCCAAAAGAATGTAATGACACAACTTTAGTTGTTAAGACTTTACTGCCATACGTTATTGAAGGTGAACATGTCTTCATTCCAAGAATTCCTTTGCTACCAAGTGATTACTCCTTTGAATTTAGAAGGCTCCAATTCCCAGTTACAATTTATTTTTCAATGTCAATTAAAAAGGCACAAGGTCAAAGTTTAAAAGCTGCTGGTTTGTTCATAACGCAGCCTTGTTTTCACATGGTCAATTTTATGTAGGATGTTCAAGGGTTGGATCTCATCAAAACCTGTTTATATTGTTACGTCTCTGGTCGTTTGTTAATTTCCCGTAAAATTTTTTCCGAAGAACTTCAGCGATACAAGTCCTTTCTTAAATAAAACTAGTTTATTCTTTCTCAATATAACTTTGCAATACACAGAATTTCCACGGTCATTTGAACTTAAACACACGCTATAATTCACAACGATTCACGCACTTTACTTATAGTCACTACCGCTCACTTGACTCAATTATCTGTCTATCTGCAATTATCTCTCTGCTTTATTTGCCGGGCTTATATACTA